TGTATACTGAAAAATATAATATAATCTATTGGTGATGAAATACAATTTATTTATTAGAAAAATCAACGAAAAATTAAATGCATTACAAATTAACGTTGTGAAAAACAAAACTACCTATCTATATCAGCTGAACAATGGTAGACTTTACAGTTTATTTGATTATTACTATGATCAAAACATGATAATATTTGTATGAGTTTATGACATATAATGTTAGTCAAAAATATTGAGTGGCGTTCGAATATTGATTTTATTTCTTCGGACCATGAGTATGTAACGTATACTAACAATATGCCTTCTAGGACAGCCATTTACTCTAATTCGAATATCGAATATCAATTTGAAACTAGATATCTAAAAATATGACAGCATTCACTATCGATAAAGTTCATAACAAGATGAAAATATATTTGTTTTATCTATACGTGTGTATTTTACTTGATGTGATTTTTTTAAAAAAAATTTAGAAAATATTAATTGACAATAAAAATAAGATATTGTGATTTTCTTAAAATATGATAAGGTATTTGAGTATTTTTCCGATATCACTGTTCAAAGTCTCATCCTGTCCGTTTTGCAACTACTGACAATTTCATGTTTAACACATGTTTTACTTTTAATATACCATGCTTATGATGTAGTTGCTAATCGTGATTACCATACGAAATTATTAAAACAAATTAAAATAATTAACTCTGCTACCAACGTATATAAAATAAAAGAAACAGTTTTCATTTATATCCAATTCATCAATGCAAATACATTTTTTTTGAGAAAAAAGTATAAATGCAATATACATTATACAAAAAAAATTATTAAATGAAAAAAAAATTAATTTTATCCATCGTAAATATTTTGTTAAGTGATAACTGCAGTGAACCGAGCACATATTTTCACCATAAAAGCCCTGAACTTGATACGTAAATTGAATCTCGAAACGAATTTGAATAAAATATTCCATATGTGAAATAAAATTATGTTCATATTAAGTATACACTGTACATTGTACATTGTGTTGGTTATGAAACTCAAACATTTTGCATGTCCTGCCTCCACTCCTGCACAGGTCAGCATAATAATTTATAAATGTATTATACACTTACTTGAAAAAATTTTTTAACGTCATAATTCAAGATCTGCATATAATGAACCCACGACTATGATTTGATAAATAAAATAGGTATGTCCAATTGCACAATGTTTTGTACCGATTATCAATTATCATCCTAAACGATAATATTACTAGACTGCTATTTAGTTAAAATCCCAGACGTTTCGTTTTATCATACTTTGTACGAAACATATGGTTTACGTTGTCTGTATTTAAATTATTTTTTTTATATAAGATATTTACATAACAATGATTCCCTATAAAAGGTCAATGCACTAATACATAACAAGATACGCACGAGTTAATTTATTAAAAACAAATTATGACGGCGATAAAAAAAAAATAATAGCCAAAATCATTATCTTTGTAAGTTATACTAAAATTGCATTACATGCGTTCATGTAAACATTGCATTTTTACTGTCCATTTTTGTTTGGTTTCCTAAAGTTTACCTATACAATAATTGTCAACAGGGCACCATGTGGCATACCACACATCTTACACACCATTTTATCTGACAATTTTTTCATTGTACTCTATTATTTATACAGGTAATGGCAATGTCTCGCAAAATGGTTATAAAGCAACTACTTATCTATATTATAAATTATACAGATATTTTTTTTTATCATATTTTGTGATTAGTGTTATACACGTATCGTATTTTAAAAGTATTTTTTTTTAGATAAATAAATATTAAATTATTACTTGATGCATAGGGTCAAATGGCCATTGTCTTTTTACGACTCTCTCTCTCAAGTTTGCTCATATGTTGTAAATTACGTATATTATATTATAATATAGGAGGTACTTTTTATCATGGTTAGAATTAAATAATTGAATTGAGCACCAATAAATAAACCTTATAACTACAAAACGAATTGGTTGAAAACATTTTAAGTACAGTTTATATTTTTTCTATGAAATCATTTTTAACCTGAATTCAAATTCAAATTTTATTTCTTTTATGTCCGGGAAGCTGCAATTTGAGTTATTTCTATACATTTTATTCGACGTCTCGATTTTAAATCATTTAATCCATGGACATTATCTGACTTGGCAAATTTAATATTTTTTATAAACTATCTATAATGATGTACTTAAATAAATAGTGGAGAGGGGAAGTAACGGATACCGTGTCTAGAAGGAGGAGGGGGTATTTCTATGGTCACATGCGATTGTATACATATATAGTTTGGCTGTAAACGGTAATTTCATGTAATATTTATCTGCAAACAAAATAAAAACAACAGCATTATTGCTCGTTTACAATAATATGCACGTTTTACTTTTTATTATTATTGAAAAAAAAATATGAACTCGCTCGTATAATTAATAAATCGATTGTTATTACTATTACAGTTATTAGGTATATAGGTACTATGCTATCAAGATTAACGGTTGGTTTTCTTCGACGTGATTTATCTTTTTTACTGTAGGTTTTGAGGAATATTTGAGATTTTCAGAGCACAACGACAGTCAACGCATACCTATATGTCCAAGTGTTTTTGTATGCTAGCACGCACCACATCATCCTCCCGTACAATAATATTATAAAGACTTGAAACAACGTTCGACAACTTTGTCGCTCTTATTGAATTTGATACTCCTTGAAAATAACTTTTGCCAAAAATGTCTAGCACGAAAATTAGATTCTCTGGAAATTGATTACGCACCTGGTAAATATATTATATCGTTGTCAAAAGTGTTTGTCACTGTAGCTCTGCAGATAGCTTTTCGAACCATCACGCCGACGATGCGACAATCATGATTGGCTGTACATGCAACTCACTAGACTGACGAGCAATTCGATATTTCATAACACACGCAAAACAAACAAGATACGAAATCTCTATAATAGGCAATGTTTTAGGAGTTTTTGGAGATTGGCATAAATAATAAATTTTGATCGAAATCGGCATAAACGTCCATATTCGTCTCTGCGCACAAAAAAAAAGTACACTTCTTCAGCGATATTTCGTGCAAAGTGTGTTTCATTATGACATGATGCGTTTTCGTTGTACGTGTATAATATTGTGACGATCAACGTTCGTATTTCGTAACGTATTCGTTAATATACGATTATGGCAGTCATGTACCATAATACTACTAATGCGTGTCGAATTAAATAACAATTTCAAAACATCCGCACTTTTGCGTTTGAACTTTTGATATAAAATATCATTGTATGTCTATAACAGAGCGGTGTTCACTAGTTTTTTTTCTTCCTAGCCGATAAGATAAGCTTAGTGATTAAATGATATTCGAACTTGTAGTTCAATGACTGATGTTCAAGGCTATAACTGAGGTCCAAAATGCTAAAGCACTATTTGAAAAATCAAACTATGTATGCTTGTAATACCTATACATACTCGTATATAATATGATATATACTCGTATACAGAACGACAAAAATTATATATCTACATGAATTGGGGTACACGATTTACATAGGGTTGGTTTTTGAGTTATTCTATGGGTAGCAGAGATTCTCAACACATTTTTTTTTCTCGCACCACCCGTGTGTATTAAGTATAACGGTGATATATTTGTTTTATTATTATTTAAAGCCTCGGCTGCTATTGGCTGCAAACAGTGGAATTATGTGCGCCTAAGTATTACTATAATATTATTATCAAATACATGTACGGTGATTACAACGTTTCGTAGACATGTTATTACAGATGAGATGGGTGTGATAAGGTGCTTGGCCCTTGTGGATCGGTCAAAAGATTAAAAACACTACTCTTCAAAATGTTAATACATTTATTTAATAATAGATGTAAACTTAGAACATACTTATATAAAAATAAAACAATATTAAATTCGTCACAAACTTAAGCTCAAATATGAATTCTTTAATTTTTCGTATTACTAGCATGTAGTCTATGGTGTACCACAGTTTGAAGATCCTTTGATCTACATTTATAGCTGGTACATACAATGCAACATTTAATAATTCTCTTTTTGCTAAAATATAGAAATATAGAATATCTCATTTTCACGAGACCCCGTGGATAACAGTGTTAGCATAATATTTTTTTTCTTAGTTATTACATTTCGGGAGCACCAAGACGATTTATTTTTCTCTACTTTGTTCTCAAGTTAAGGATTTTGTTTCTCATATAAAAAGGTGAATGCTTATTGTTATATAAGCTTATAAATATCACAATACTTCAATGTATTTCTCATCTGATATTACAATAATATTATTTATACTTTATATAAAACGATAAAAGCACTCAGTAAAAATAATACTATTCTTTAAAGTTTAAATAGTATTAACTCAAAATACAACATCTTTTATAGTATAAAACTAATTTTTTAGTATTATTGGTATATTTTCCTTAATATTACTACCATAGTCACTGCTACAACCTATTTTATAATTATTTAAAGAAAAAATACAATTCAATAGGTAGTATAATATATAGTAATGTGGTACTCTATATAACTCTATATAAATAATTTGTGAAGGATGTTAATAGATGGATATGTATAGTAAAATACATGAATTTGTATAGAAACATAACTTTAAAAAACCCATTTTATAAATAAGGTGATATTTTAATCACGATAACCTATTGTCTTCGACACGTCCAGGATTAGAGTTCGTCACGTTTCATATACAAATCCCGATAGAATATGGTTGATCAATTTTTATTTATTTTATATTTTTATCATCTACAAAGGCACGTAGATAATTTGCTTATATAAATAGAGACCAAGATTCAAATATTGACACTTCTTCAGAATAGGTATTGAGTGTACATAATATTATATTTAGCATACCTAACAGTCTACACGCAATAGTGCATTAAAGAAAAGTTTTTTTTAAGTTTAGAAATTAAATTTGAAAATCATGAACATTTTTTCGACGTTATTCATCATGGTGCTTTTCATTATGCAGGTAATTATTAAATGATAAATTGTTCAATAATTGACAAAATAAAAATGCTGAACTATAACTTAGTATATAATTTAAAAGCAGAATTACATATTATTTAGTAGTAAATAATATATCTTTAATGAATGAAATTAAAAACAGAAATGTTACTCACCAAAATTTAATATGTAAATATCATTTAAAAAATCTAATTATAGAAACCTTTTTTATTAATCTCGATAAATAATTTGTTTTGATTTACATTCCGAGTAGGAACAAAGCAACTTTTGGTTATACAATATAATCATAATACAAAAAGTGTTATGAATAATTCAGATACAAAAGTTTTCAAGATTTTTCTGATAGGTTTTTTTCGATTCAAATTAAACATGTCGATACTGGTGTTTCTTAGAGATGGAGGTCCACACAGAGGACGAAACGATGGTGGCGGGTCATTTTTTAAATTTAACAGGGATCATTTGCAAACATAAATATTCAGACTTTGATTTTTGAATTTCAAGTATAATATTATTTCATAATGTATATGAATATAATTTAAAATTGAGTAAAAAATCTCATCGTTCAGATTTTATTTAAGCCCTAACTCTATAATTGTATATCCACATACATTATTCATAATAAAGTGAAAGTAATCTATTTAAGGCCGTTTTTACAAAATCAATTTAGTAGGTATTAGGTTATCAAAATGTTACAATGAAAAAATTACAACGATTTATTGTATGGACCATGGGTATGGGATATCCAACATTTAATATTATAGTTACATAGTTATGATACAAGGAAGTACTGTGAAAACAGTTCCCATATCTCAGTCGGTTCTAAATCAAAATTTAAGTACATAGGTAGGGATTGGCAAGTTACTCGATTAGTTGTAACTTTTATAAGTTACAAGTTGTACCACAATTGAGTATCAAATAAAAAAATTCTTAAAAATTGGTAACTGATTGTCAATTACAGTTACAGTAACTTGGTTACATTTAAAGTTATAAGTTACTTAATATTTATTTTTATTTCTTTAAGAAAATAATGACTTAATTAACCAGCTATTTGTTTGTCAAGGGGGGTTCACGAGAAAATTCATTATTTAAGTTATAACTGAGATTTAAAAGTATTAACATTACAGTTAATTAAAACATTGGTTTCATTTTACTAAAAAATAATTTATATTTATGGTTAGAGTATGTTTAATAAAAAATAAAAATAAAACCAAGTACCTAGATTAGTTCTGAAAACAGAATAATTTGATCACACGTGCTGTATGGTCAAAGGGTTTTATTCAAACTTTAAATCGATAGGTAATAATTTATATGATATATTTACTTATACAAAACTTATTATCATACATATGTTTATTATGTATCATATTTCAATATTTAAAAAGTCGGCTAGTATCTATAGGTAGCTGCTCTGCTGTACAGTTGGAGTCGAGTTTACCTTGTTGTGGAGGTCACAGTAATGGATGTGTTAAATAATTACATTTTAATTTAACGATTAATCATTGCTTACGAAAAATCATTCTGAGCGCAGATAAACTGTCTTATACCACTAAGTTTGTTTTATCATTTACAATATATTTTACTCTTAGTAATACGGTAGAAATAGCCAATAGCTAAACATTAAAATTAATCTTAATATTTTGAAAATGTAATTTATATGTAAAATATAATAACCCACGTAGTATAGTCATGTCCCTTCGGAAATATTTTAATTCCAACAAAATAACTAGTATTGACATTCTTTGTTTTATTAGGTACCCAATTTCTTCAAAATTAGAATTTAAAAATAATCAAATGTCTATACAAATGTACAATATAATTCTTAGATTTTTGGGTTTCAGTAAGAACTACTTATAGCTTTCGATGGAATTGTAAAAAAGTTCTTTATGATTCTCCTCCAACATACTAACTAGATTAATTTTTCTACTAGGATGGATGTTAAAACTAGAATATTGAAATCAATATAACTAATAAAAAAGGTGATGGCAGACACATAAGAAAACACACATCATTATAAATTGGCTATGCTTATAATCAAGAATTACAACATAACATACGATATCGGAATCGTCCAATAATTGTTCTTTAAATATTAAATGTAACTTTTATTTAAAGTTACATTATACATTGTAACTAGATGCATTTTAAAGTTACTGAAAATTACGCAATTGATTACTAGTTACAAAATATGTAACTAGGTTACGTAATTGTTATACATCATGCTGTAACTGATAACTACATAACCCTGTAAAGGTTTATTAAATGTAAATTAATGTCAACTATTACATTGATACCAATTGTCTCTAATAATAATATACCTTATACTTACTAAAGTACAATTACTTTTTGAATTTGTATTGGTATTTTATAATTTGTTTGTTCTTAATATACTCTATGTTGTACATTTTGAGAACAAAAACTTTATCGTTTCAGGTAAAAAACGAGGATGTCTTATTAGATTCTAGCGATTGTCAAACCAAATGTCCAATTCGGCGTCAAACCATTCGATCATACCCACCTGGTACAGCATTGTTTGTTGGGGACGAATGCGTGTGTGGCGGATCACAAGAAACCATATACGAATATGTACCACCTGTCCGGCAAGTGGAAACTCCGGTTGGTTTTAAACGAAAAACAATTGAATCTCAGTCCAATAATCGGGTAATGGGAAATTACGGTTCTCTCGTGTTCTCGGGTAATGTTCAAATATTGAATTTACTAAGCATAAAAAACGACAACATCCGTAAAGGATGTTGTGATCGCAAACCGTTGAATCCGTCAAATGATAAAATAATAATGAGTACACCTAGTATATTAGGAATTAATTTACTGACGACGACTGCAATATCAAGATTCAACAAAGTCTCTGGTAAAAAAAACCAACAAAATACGACACCTTCAGGTGTCAAAAACTGCACGGACCAAAATTTTTCGATAATTACAGAACCAGTACTTCAAAATTCGTTTACAACGGTAAGCGAATTTACCTCTGAGAATATTGTCACCGATGAACCAGATTTATCTGATCAGTCCACAAGAAGTTCGGTCACACAAACGTCTTTAGACATTGAAATACCAACGTCTACTGTTAATCCGCAGCAAAAGGAAGATTCCAGAGTCTTTACGACGGAAGATCCTATGATTTCGGAACAAAATAGTACATGCAATTACTCAAAGAAAAGTGAAAAAATTCCAAATTTAGTCAAGAAACCCGATTTCGAAATACTTGTAATAAATACTAATACAATTCATCTTAATAATTTACTACAACGATTTCGTTTAAAAAAATTATAATTTAATAATAACTAACAGGTAGGTAGTAAATGTGAAAAAAAGGTCGACATAGTTTTTCGAATTAAATCGTATCAAGTTATCGTAATGTGTTGTGTGTATCAATTATATGTTTATTCGTTTTACGATATAATTATTTTATAATAGACACCTGCTATTATCTATATTAACGGATATTATGTGTTCCGAGGGTGACGAAACTGTTGTAGCACATTCTATTCTGTTTCAAACGAGTATTATCAATTGCGTGCAATACAGACGATACAGTTATAAGTTTATAGTTGTGTTTTAAATGTATGTTAATAAAAACCATTTGTCGAGAGAAAATATGACGTGTTGATTTCTAATTGTAAGCAACTATTATAGTTTTTATTATTATATACTATTCTCCGTTTACTTGGAATCAATAATTTGAATAATCCCAGGGTACTATTTAAATAGACATTTTTAATATGAGTGCGTCCAATGAATATAAACTATATAATTACATTTTTTCAGTACTGTATCTTAGATTGAATGTTTGATCTATTATTGATAGTCAAACAAAGGAATTATTTAAAAATGTAGATTCACAGTGTCAAATAGGTACTCAAGTTGTAAGGTTAATATTTTAATACTCATTTAAATATTTTTACCTATAATATGCACAACAATTGTTGTTATTTATAACTTTTATGATTATGGCGTTTTAAACCACAAGAATACTATTATTGCTCAAGCATATAACGACTATTTGGTAATTTTTGAATGGACATTACGTGTTATGATCCCGATCCAGATCGTAATATTTTATATTTTGTTTATAATAATTAACAATGTAAAGGTACATAAATACCTATAATGTATATTGTATTATGTATGTATAATAGATAATTGGCTAGTTGGTTTAGGTACCTAGTGTATATTTATACTCAAATTAAATTTAACAGGTAACCATAAATATTTTTTCAATGATTATTGATAAATCACTTATTTGATGTATTGCGTAGTGGAGTTGTTCGGGATGCATACCTTAATGTTTGATGGTCGATGGACATAATAATCTGTGTAAAAACCATAACCTAACATTGTTTTTTGTTCGTCATGAGTACCGACAACGTTCTAGAATCGGCTGCGCCTCGAACCACGATATGGCATAGCACACTTGCGCGTAATAGTTATATAACAACAAAATGTGCGTTTAAGGGTGATGCACCAAGTAAGATCACAAATATAATTTTTATTGAATAATGGATTTTTTCAAATTCTGAATGTTGGTATTCTTAAGTAGGTACCTTTGCTAAAGTTCCATAATTTAAAATACAAAGAATCGTTGTACAATTTAAAAACTACCACGAGGCGATACAAGTATAGTTATCTTCTTTCAAATTAAAACTAGACTTTTTAACAGTAAATTGTTAAGGAGATGATTCCTTTGAAAATGTTGATGTTTCTACATTAAAATTCGAACTAGTAATTCCTGAGTTATAAAAATGTATAGTGTATACATTAAACTAATGATAAAAGTTCTTAAAAACCATTTCACAATATTATAAAATTGGTCGGTTTAATATTTAATCTATAGTACTAATTAAACCCAGGAAATTCTTTTAAAATATAAAATGTTCGTTCATAAATAATAATGCCTGCAATTTTCAAATCACCATAACATCCATATAATCTTACAAACTTATTTTCATGAACCTATTATTCTTAATACACAAAGTTAAATCACTCAAAAACTACTTGTTTCAGTTTTGTAACAACAACATTTAAAAAAAAATCACCTAGGTACTTACTTAATAATTTACAGGAAAAACGGCGATTCTCATTTGAAAAAAAAAGTTGGTAATAATACAAGACACTCCTTAAACGATTTAAAAAATCTAAAGCTAGGAATTTATATAAATTTATTATTAATGGAAATTAGGTGTGACCATGTTTGTTGAATTGTTATAATATTACACTAAAAAATCGCCAGACAACAAGTTAAGAGTTTATTTGACTAAGTGACTAAGTAAGGTTTTTTTCGGATTTCCCAAACTTACACAAAATCGATGGGACAGCGATCGAAAATCACTTCCAGAATTTCGTGTGTCATATTATTGAATTGTTATGATGCTACAGAATAAGCTTTGAACCAGATTTCCACCTATACTCTCTTCCAACCTAAAAAAAACGTCCACGAAACATAATCCAAGACGTTAAAATTAATATTGATTTTTCAACCACTAATTTGCAGCTGTCGTTGTGACGTTTAAAATTGAATGCTGATTGTTGGATGTACTATAGCCTACTACAATAACAAATATAGTGTTTACAATTAAATTATAATACTTATATGAATTCTTGATGATATAAACCGAAGAGAATATATTTAAATGTTTTGATTACAACTACGGGCATTAGAGTTAAAGTGATTTGATTGATTAAAAAATCAATTATATATATTTGTTTAATAAATTCAATATTTTTGCTATAAAAATATCTTAAACATGTTCACAAAAAAACAAAATTTATTCAAAACAGTAATCATTTTTATTTTAAGAACACGGCGAATGAAAACAAAAATGTCTCTATTATAAATTTGTTTTTTTATAAAGTTAATTATATTGCTTATTGTGAAGTAAAAACGGTGTGGTAAAAATATAATTGAACTCCTAATGGCTAGGTAAAATAAAAATAGGTCAATGCAATTACTGGTAAATATGAATAAAAACCAAAACCATTAAAATGTAAGCTCAGGTTTCAATTAACTGTCGTGGGTGGTTCATTTTACCGGTCAAGAAACCAACCCAGAAATAAAAAAAATGAAAGACTTATCTAACCAATATATTTCGTTATTTAGATTGACGAAAAAATTCTTTTTGCTTTTTAATGTTTTTCGAGGTTGGTCATTAAATGGTTAAACAAATTATACTGAGGCACGGCATATAAAGTACCTATTGACGTATCACTTGACACGCGCTATAACCTACAACGTCTTAGCCTCGTACTCTAGCTCCTAAGATATGATGACTTTATCCTAAATTCTATTTGGCAAGCACTGTTAACTTGAGATGAGGTACAATGGCATACATTTAACGTTTGATGTCCATTCCTTTTAGGAGTTTTTAGACCTCATTGAACACATGATTTGATACCCTGTGCTGTTCAGCACTAGTGTTGTGACTCTTAGAAATTCCCGGGAATACCAAAAAGGCAAACATTTTTACAAATGACTATCTTTTTCGGCCACTTACTACGACCTTTTAGCCACGTCTTCTGATTTATGTATTTTTTTCATAAGTACAACTAAATTATTTTAAATATTTTAATAGCCTTAAAATGTATTATAAATAGTATAGTATACCTGTAGTTCTAGGTAGATAGATTCATCGTTAGGCACAGTTAATATTTTTAGCAGAAAAAATAGTCGTTTTGTATTTTTGTAAAATTATTTGTATTTTTGTTTGAGTACTTATATGGCTATATACTAACTGATATTAATATTATACTAACTGTTAAAAAAATAAATATATATATATTTGTAAAAAAATATATACCTATGCCATAGTCTACTTATTATAGTTATAGTAAGTAATGTTAATGTTATAATACTAATTGTAAGCATTTAAATTAACCAAAAGAGTATTGGTTTTTCATGAGCTGAAAAAAATGTATCTATGAGCTACTTTTTAGTTACCTGTAGGGGCTGAAAAAAAATTGTTAAAACCTGCTTCGCGATGTACTCTTTCTTTAAAAAATAAAAGCCGAAGTAATTGGATGAGTAGTTTCAGAGAACATGCGTGATTAAGATTTTAATTTCCATATTTACGTATATATATATATATATATATATAGGTATATTAAAGATAAACAACTGGTAATATCTTTTAAAATTGTTTTTATTATTTGAGTGGAGATTATATTTCTTTTTAGGGAAAATATAATAAAAAAATCAGAGAATTGTGATGTGACTCATCGATTCGACCAATATAACATTGATTCCGTCAATACAGGTATGTATTGAAATCTATTTTTATATGTTTAAGCAGTGTAAGTGCTTCTTAAAATGGAAATTTAGCTGGAATATATAAATGAAATACACCATTATTTGGCATTATGATGTGTACATTTTATATTTCGTTCCCATCTTTTCTTTATACGATTCCCGTAAATTGCGCATTTCTATTCAGTCCTAAAAACCTCATTGACTGTATGATATGTATACTCCAGCGTGATTCAGTCATAAAGGTTGTAGAACGGTAGACGATTGCAAGAAAGTTACACACAATATTTCTGATCGGAAACACTTTTATTACATATTTACATTCAAACAGACATTATATAACATCTCACTTAAGTCCGTACAGACATTCGTTCACCTCTCCACGTGCGACCGCCACACACACGCAAATACACACTCCTGTCGAACTCTATGAGACTCTCTTCGCACACACTGCGGAGGTGGCTTTAAATTATGAAATATTATGTCACCTCAGCACTATTTGCTTCTCTTTGCTACTTATATGCTGCTTATATAGTGACTCACATGCTAAAAATATAAATTATACATATTATTATATCATAATGTCGTGTCCCTGTACTACGCATAAATTATAATAATATTATAATATTAATGACTCTCTATAGTATACGACACCAGATAACTATAGTTACCCGCTGGAGCGTCCTATAATCTGTGAACGAACGTCTCTCTAATATGTGTCTGGTGATTAGTGTAGCTCACGGAGTTTGCATAGTACCGAAATTTCAAACAACGCTTCGACGTTCTGGTGGGCATCCGTTAGTTTATCATTATCACACATATTATTATATTTTGTTTATTTTATTATTACTGAGTGTTCGTACATAAAATCATTTATAATCAATGGTATAATGTACAATACGAAATGTGAAACAGCGTACAGTGCTCGATCTCGCCAATTCTCACCGTCAATATTTCGAACGTTCTTAAATCACCGTTTGAAATCAGTTTCATAATTTCGGGAATCCATGGGCCACGTAATATAGACATCGCGCAAAAGTCAGAATAGTATAATATAATCTTAAAGTTGAAAACAAAAACCATATTGTCAATATTGTACAATAACACTTGAATTTACGCAATTTACACATTTTGAATGGGATTAAAAAAAAAATAGTCACTTTATAGCCTGTAAGACATGTATCAGACCTACTAACCATCTAACCTACAAGGTGCCAATATGGTATACCTATTGGCTATTGTAAAGAGATAGCTGAAGGTATTTTAGTGCTGTCAAATTTCTAAGACAACGCACATACTTGAAAACAACAGCTGCTTTGATTTATTATTAAAATAGCTGATGC